AAATAATACCATGCGGGACACATTCGTTTTTTCTTCGCGCGCGCACGCCGTCGTCGTCGGCCGCGGGGCCCTGAATAGTAGCCACGGTCGTCCGCATGCCACGAAGTGAAGTGTCCGAACGTCATAGGGCGGGAAGCTGGGTGTGGGTGGTGGCGAAGAGTCGTTTGGAAATTTGGTAGAGCTTGAACCGGCCCCCCCACAAAGTGGGGGTATTGCCCGCCTCCTATGAAAACCCTGGCACTGGTGAGAACGGAGTGTCCCCACGTGCTAGTAATTGTTGTTGTTGTTGTTGTTGTTGTTGTTGTTGTTGTTGTTGTTGTTGTTGTTGTTGTTGTTGTTGTTGTTTTCAATTTCGCACTCTCGCCTGGGTGCCGCGCACACTTGTCGAAACATGATGTTCTCGCTCGCCTCGGCGCCGTGCACATGACAGTGGGGGGAGGGGCACGTACCGCGCGCTGCCTCTGACGTGCCGCGTGCTGCACGTGCCTTACAACTACTTCTTGTCGCAAGGCTTCCTTAGCAATGATGTTTGCAGTAAGGCATCCTGAGCAAGGAGTCCTTTAGGAGGGAGTCCCGAGGGAGGAGGAACTGGGAGGAGGGCCTGGCTGCTCACCCACACAGCCCACAACACAGAGGGGGGAAGCGGCAACAGGAAATGGTTGCTCTCTCTCTCTCTCTTTTTTTTTTTTTTTTTTTTTTTTTTTTTTTTCTCTCTCTCTCTCTCTCTCTTTTCATTTCTCAATTCGACTCGCCTCACGGGCCCTAACTTGGATAAGGAGTGGTGTCTCGGGGTGCTACTCTGCCCGTACCTCGGCGGGTTCCCCGGGTTCCTCGAGTTCCCGGGGCTCCTCGCCCTCGGTGCCTCGGAGGGGGCCGCGTGGCCCGTTCCTCGGAGGCTCCTCGCCCCCGGTCCTTCGTATGCCCCCCCAGGCACTGCCAAGCGATGCCAAGCAGAGCAAGGCGATGCCAAGCAAGGCCAAGCAACGGCAAGCAATGGCAAGCGATGCGAAGCACTGCGCCCGTGCAGCGGGAAGCTTTCCCCTCCGTGGGGTCGCGCCAGGCTCATTTTCCCCCAATCAGGCTTGCCTAAGGGGATCTTACTTGGTTAGATATTGGTGCCTCCGGGTGCTACATTGCTCGTTCCTCGGAGGTTCCCCGGGTTCCTCGGGTTCCCTGGGTTCCTCGCTGTCGGTGCTTCGGGGTTTCTCGAGTTCCTCGGGTTCCCCGGGTTCCTCTCCCTGGGTCCCTCGTATTTCCCCAAGCAATGCCAAGCAATGCCAAGCGATACCAAGCACTGCGCCCATGCAGTAGGAAGCTATCCCCTAATTGGGGTCGCGGCGGGTTAGTTTTTTTGTCTCTCTCTCTCTCTCTCTATCTCTCTCTCTATCTCTCTCTCTCTCTCTCTCCTTGTCTTTCTCTCTCTCTGGCTCCTCCCCTTTACACATTCATGCGAGGCCCAGCCAATGAAGCACCGATAGGACGCCATGCGAACGCCTCTACTGGGACCATTGCTGGAGATCCCGAGTAAGGATGCTTGTAAGAAGGACTCTGAGTAGGCACTCTTTCCAGTGAGGGTTCCTCAGTAGGGACTTGTGGAATCCACATTCATGAATAAGGATGTCTGTGCAGGAAACCTGAGGAAGGATCCTGTAGTGAGGAATCCTGAGTGAGGGCGCCTTTGGAAAGCATTCGTCAGTAAGGGTACTTCTGCCAAGGAAACCGAAGTAAGGCTTCCTTTAGTGCGGGCTCCTAACTTTTGACGCATTCAGGACGGATCCCCTCAGTGCGGATCCGCCAGGCAAAGGGTTCATTTCTCATTCTGATTTTCACAAGGCTCAGCTACGAAAGACGCCTTCCGTAAGGGGCCCGTGGTACGGATCGTTTCAGTAAGGGGTCCTGAGTAATGAGTCCTTTATCAAGGGCGCCCTCGAGGGCGCGAAGGTATCCGCGCTTCGCGCTTCGCGGTTCGGCTCCGGTTCCTCCTCATCCTCCTTTTCTCCCCTGGGAGGCGGCGCGAGAGCGCGAAGTTAGTCGCACTTCGCGCTTCGCGCAGCGCGAAACGCGAGGTTGGGAGCCCTTGTTTATTTAGACAGGAGTCCGCGGGGACGAGGTAGTGGGAGGGGAAGCCGGGTGCTCTCTCGCGCAGCCCACAGCACAGAGGGGGAAGTGGCAGGAGGACACGGTTGCCCTCTTTCTTTCTTTTTCTCTCTCTCTCTCTCTCTCCCCCTCCTTCCTTCTCGTGCTTCCTCTCGTTCTCTCTCCCTTCTCCCACTTTCACATTCGCGCGAGGCCAGCCAGTGAAACACCGATTGGACGCCATGCGAACGCCTCCACTGGGGCCTTCGCTGGGGACCCTTAACCAAGATGTTAGTGGTAAGGGGCTCTTAGGCAGCGTTCCTTTTTTAGTGAAGGGTCCTTAGTAAGGATTTCTTAATGCACACTTTCGAATGAGGATGTCTGCATCAAGTGAGGAGTAGGGGTGCTTTTTCTTGGTAAGCAT